CCCGCCCGAAATGTGGCAGATTTTTATATAACATAGAAACTCAGATCAAGTTTGTTGAAACATTCGCTGAAGTTTGTGTGGTGAATTGGTGATGAACCTGGTTGGATGTGGTTTTCGGGGATAATACACAAAGCTCTGAAGTTTTGCATGGTTCCCAGCAAAACTTGGTATTTTTCTCTGAAATTTGCTCTGAGTTTTGAATCTCAATAGTTTCAGGGTGCTGAAACCCACATGAAACTAAACTAAGAAAATGTTTGTGCAAACACCAGTTTTCACAAAGGTCTATTTAAAAAGTAAACTAAAGCAAGTACTTGAATACTAGGGGTGTCCAAAACGGGCCGCATTTGATTCGGATTTGGATTCGGCCTGAATCAGGGACAGTGATTCGATTAATTGATTCGGATCATGGCCCCGATTTGATGAGGCCGAATCTGAAGATCCGATGCTGATTTAGAGAATCGGCTATTCAGCCATAGACACAGCTTTAAATGTTTTTTCTACATACCTCGAGGTACCAGGTGCAGTTCGTGAATGCTGAGATGCTGGGATGGATGGATTGTCCCAGAAGAGCATGGGGGCCTCCCCATGTGCTCAGCAGAGGACCCAGAAGTGGACTAGAAGTACTTCTAGTCCACTTCTGGGTCTGCTGCTGAGTGTGCTGGGGACCCCCCACGCTCCTGTGAGATGCTGGGGCAGATGGAGCATCCCAGGATTCAAGATGTGCCTGGTACCTCGAGGTATGTAGAAAAAACATTTAAAGCTGTATATATGTCTGAATCGTTTAATCTTTCCGAATCTCTCTGATTTGATTCAGAGAGATTAAAGAGTCTCCTGATTTGATTCCGATTTGGAGATTCAGCCACCAAATCGGACCGAATCTCTGCCAAATCGAATCGGGGACTGAAGCTTCGCACAGCCCTGTTGAATACCTTCTGGGTTAAGGTCCTAGGTTTGTAACCTGTTATCCTCAGGATTGGTCTCATTTGCCATGCCTTTGCAGCCTCTAGAGAGGGTGCAGAGGCTGCCAAAAAATAAGCCCAACACAATCCATGAATACTCAAGCCTGCCTGTAAACTGGGAAGCACAGTTATATTCAGACCTTCCTGGGTCCTACTAATGGCCACTGTTTCCTCTACTTAAACTGTAGAGTTTATTCCTCAGAGGTACTCCAGGGTTCACCAAGAGGCTGCATAGACGCAGCTAGTGATTTCCAAAGTATTAGTCACATAAGCAAGAGATAGTCATTTGAGAGTGGGTTACAGTAGAGAACCCATTGGCCCTAAAGTACAGAAGGGGCTGCAATGAGGTGTGCATGGAGTCAGAGCTGAACACTAACCCTTCAAGGTTTTGTACTTTGGATGTAGGCCCATTATTAAGATAATTTGGGGTTGGAGTGTATTAGAAGGGTGTGTAGTCTTTGGCTTAGCAGAGGACTCTTTAGAGAGCACACAAAAGGAAGCTTACAAGAAGTGGAAGCTTGGACAGATGACTAGGGAGGAGTATCACTTGGGCATGCAGAGATGAAGTCAGAAAGGCCAGAGTGCAACTGGAGTTGCAGCTGGCAAGGGACATGAAGGGTAACAAGTAGGGTTTCTACAAGCATGTCAGCAACAAGAGGAAGGCCAGGGAAAGTGTGGATCCCTTACAGAATGGGGAAGGCAACCTAGGGTCAGATGATGAGGAAGAGGCTGAAGTGCTTGATGCCTTTTTTACCTCGGTCTTCACAAGTAAGGCCAGCTCCCAAACTACTTCACCAGGCAGCACCGTTTGGGGTGCAGGTCAGCAGCCCTCAGTGGTGAAAAAACAGATCAGGGACTATATAGCAAAGTTGAGTGTGTACAAGTATATGGGGTCAGATGGGATGCACCCAAGGGTGCTGAGGGAAGTGGCTGATGTGATTGCAGAGATAACTGAGATGTTGAGATAACTGGCTCTGTGGTTGCAGGGAAAGTAGTGGACGTAATATACCTTGATTTAAGCAAGGCTTTTGATACCATCTCCCATAGCATTCTTGCAAGCAAGCTAAGAAAGTCTGAGTTGGATGAATGGACTGTAAGATGGATAGAAAGCCAGCTGGATTGTCAGGCTCAATGGGTAGTAATCAATAGCTCAATGTTTAGTTGGCAAGTGGTATCAAGTGGAGTGTCCCAGGGGTTGATCCTGGGGCCGGTTTTGTTCAGTATCTTCATTAATGATCTGGAAGGTGGGATGGATTGCACCCTCAGCAAGATCACAGGTGACACAAAGTTGTGGGGTGTAGTAGATATGCTGGGGCATAGTGGTAGGATTCAGAGTGACCTAGACAAATCGGAGGATTTGGACCAAAAGAAATCTCATGAGGCTCAACAAGGGCAAGTGCAAAGTCCTGCACTTAGGACAGAACAATCCCATGCACTGGTGCAGGCTGGAGGCTGACTGGCTAAGCAGCAACTCTCAGAAAAGGACCTAGGGTTTACAGTGGACAATAAGATGGATATAAGCCAACAATGTGCCTTGTTGCCAAGAAGGCTAATGGCATACTGAGCTGCTTTAGTAGGAGCATTGTCAGCAGATTAAGGGAAGTGATTATTCCCCTCTGTTCGGCACTGGTGAGGCCACATCTGCAGTACAGTGTCTAGTTCGGGGCCCCGCACTACATAAAAGATGTGGACAAGTTGGAGAGAGTCCAGCAGAGGGCAGCAAAAATGGTTGGGGAGGCTGGGGAACATGACTTACGAGGCTAAGCTGAGGGAACTGGGCTTATTTAGTCTGCAGAAGAAAAGTCTGAGGAGGGATTTGATAGCAGCTTTCAACTACCTGACGGGGTGTTCATAAGAGGATGGAGCTGGGCTGTTCTCAGTGGTGGCAGATGACAGAACAAGGAACGACGGTCTCAAGTTGCAGCAAGGGAAGTTTAGGTTAGATATGAGGAAAAACTTTCTCAGTAGGAGAGTAGTGAAACACTGGAGCAGGTTACCCAGAGAGGTGGTGCAATCTCCATCTTCGGAGGTTTTTAAGGCCCAGTTGGACAAAGCCCCGGCTGAGATGATCTAGTGAGGGCTGGTCCTGCTTTGAACAGGGAGTTGGACTAAATGATCCTGAGGTCCTTTCCAACCCTCATTTTCTATGATTCTGTAGTGCCTGATGACTCACTCAAAGTTTACATACATTTATTTAGGGTTTTGTATTAAGTCCCAGATTTAGGGAAACATCCCTATGCAGAAAATCAGTTATTTTAAGCATGCTGCCAGTACCATTTATTTCAGTGGGACTGTGTATGTGCTTTGTTCGATCATGGCTTACGCATGATATTCTGGAGATATCTTTCCTCATCAAACATTTCCATTCAAAATAAAGTTGGGCAAATAAGCCGTGCTCCTGTTCCAACTGTCTTCAAGAAAAGCAGAATCAGACCCATAGGGGAAAAAAAAAGAAATTCTCCAGTGCCATTAAATAGGCTGTTAAATCAAATGCTCTTAAATACTGTGAATTTATAAGTAAATATATTATATTTGGGTGTTCACTAGCATCAAGGAAAATACACTTTCTCTTCCAGACATGAGGCTTTATTCATTACTTTCTGCATTGCAGCCCAACCCAATTGGATTCAGAAAACAAGCGATGCTCGGGTCGCTATCGAGGAAAGTATCTTTTGGGAGTGCAAAGCAAATGGGAGGCCGAAGCCTTCCTATAGCTGGCTAAAGGATGGAGAACACCTGATGCCTCAGGTAAGAAAAATGCTAAAGGCTGGTGATTTGTTTTTTTGGAGGAAAAGTCTTGCTGAATGTTATGTAAGGCTGCTGTTGCTTTGGCAGCTTCTTTTTTCACATCTCCGCAGTTTATTGCTTTTGAAATCAAAGTGCAGTCATGGAGCCTTAAAAATGCACTTCTCGTGTAGCAGATTTCCTACCCTGCTGAGTGAACGCCTTCATCTGACATTGAGTTCCTGTGCTGAAAAAAAGATTTCCCTCCCTTCTCTAGGACAAGGGAAAGTTGGAGCACTGTTTCAGCAGAGCGTTCTGGCAAGCCGGGTATGGGGAACAGTTGTACATTTACAGCTGTCTCTTGCTTTGTGAAATGAGCCGTTCAGAACGCAGGTCACAACAGACCCCAGTGAAAAAGTGTGAATGGCTGGGTGGGAGCGTGGGGCCGGAGGCCATAAAATGATTGTCCTCTATTCAATTTTTCAGTTTATAATTTTCAGCTGAATTTCAGCTGTTAATGGAACGTTAGCATTTCCTCCCGTCTCAAGCAGCGCTCCAATTCCTCTTGTTCAAATTTGTTCCTGTACAGGCAACCAGAGACTTGGCCTGCCATTAGCAGTGACATGAAGAACTGCCTAAAGATTAACGATCCATAGCAGGCAGGGGAAAGAACCGCCCCCCCCAACACACACACACACACACACACACACACACACAC